GTACTTTCTTCGGGGGGCCTTTTGACACCTCCCGGATTGTCTTTCATATTGTGCCGGCAGCCGGCGAATGCCGCTGATCCGTGGCGCTCCGGATAATGATGATGATTATGATGATGGTGATGTTGATGATGATGATGATGATGATGATGATGATGATGATGATGATGATGATGATGATGATGATGATGATTATGACGGCGATGATGATTATGATGATGTTTATCATGGTAACGCCCATGGTGAAGAGCATGAAGATGGTGATGACGACGACGAGAATCAGGATTTTGATGGTGATGATGGTTGTGATGACGATAGTGGTGTGCCCACAATGTTGCTGATAATGGTGACGGTGGTGTTGATGTTGATGATGTGAATTCTCAGGGTACTACGGGTGGTGCAGTTGGTGAGGACGGCGATGGTGATGGTGATGCTGCTGCGGATGATGTTGTTGTTGTTGTTGATGATGATGATGATGATGATGATGATGATGATGATGATGATGATGATGACGTTGACCATGGTGATGGTGGTGGGGATGTTGATGACGACGATTATGATGAAGCTGATGAACAGGAAGAGGTCGGCCATCATTTGCTGCATCTTCCGTCTCCACTTCTTGTGGAGCTCATAGGGGCCATGTTGGGCCTGTTTTTGCTTGTTGTGAGGAGGGAGGAAGAGGATGGAGGAGGGAGGACGAGGGAGGAGGGAGGAGAAAGCAAGAGGTAGGGGGGAGGAGGGAGGAGGGAGGAGGGAGAAAGGAGAAGGGGAGGAAGGGAGGGAGGGAGGGATGAGGACTGAGGCTCAGGGGATGAGGACCGGGCCCATTGAGAATCCTCAGGCTTGAGGACTGATGCTCAGGGGATTGAGCAAGGGACCAGGGGAAGCCTCTTGGGGGTCGTTTTGGGGCCTCTTGGGGCCTCTTTCGGGCCTCTTTCGGGCCTTCTGGGGCCTCCTGGGGACTTCTTGGTGGCCTGTTGGGGCCTTGCGGGGGCTTCTTGGAGCCTCTTGAGAACCTCGCGAGGGGAAAGGCTGGGATTTTCGGCTCGGGCTCCCCCTCTTGGGCCTCTCGTGGGGCCGTCTTGCAGCCCTCTTGGGCCAGCTTGGGCGCTTCTTGGGCCGTGTTGGCGCTCTCTTGGGCCGTTTTGGGGTCGTCTTGGGAGCCTCTTGAGCCGTCTTGACGCGGTCTCGGGGGCCTCTGGGACCGTTGGCAACCCCTTTGAAGGCCAGTATGTCGTACAAGATAAAATGTACGTTTCCCGTAGGAATTGGACGATTTGGACCTCGTGGGTCTCTCTTCGCAGGTGGTTGGTTACCTATTGGGGCGTCTTGGAGGCGTTTTGCGAGCACGACATGCGTCGGGAATGGCGTTTAGAATGGCGTCGGCCCCCTCCCCCTCCATGGTCAGAGCGTCGGAACGGCGTCGGGAACGGTGTGGGCCCCCCCGCCCCCGAGCACTAAATGCGTCGGGAGTGGCGTCGGGAATGGCGTCCCCCCCCCTCCCTTCTTAATGGTGTGGGCCCCTCCGCCCCCGAGCATTAAATGCGTCGGGAGTGGCGTCGGGAATGGCGTCCCCCCCTTCCCCCCCCCTTCCCCCTTAATGGTGTGGGCCCATCCGCCCCCGAGCACGAAATGCGTCGGGATTGGCGTCTGGAATGGCGTCCCCCCCTTCCCCCCCCTTCCCCCCTCACTCGTTTCCTCGGGCCCTGGTTCGGTTTCTCGTGGTCTCCGTTTCTCGGCCCATGGATTGCGGTCGTGTTTTCTCAGACCTTGATTCGTTTTCTCGTTGTCTCGTTTTCTCTGCCCCTGGGTCGTGGTTTTGTTTTCTCTGACCCTGGTTCGTTTTCTCGCTTTCTTGTTCTCGGCCCCTGAGTCGTGGTCTCGTTTTCTCTGACCTTGGTTCGTGTTCTCGTTTCTTGTTTTCTCGGCCCCTGGGTCGTGGTCTGGTTTTCTCAGACGCTGGTTTGTTTTCTCGTTTTCTTGTTTTCTCGGCCCCTGGGTCGTAGTTTCGTTTTCTCTGACCCTGGTTCGTTTTCTCGTTTTGTCGGCCCCTGGGTGAGTCTCGTCTTCTCGGACGGATATTCGCGTTTTCTCGGCCTGGGTCGTGGTCTCGTTTACTCCGACCTTGGTTCGTTTTCTCGTTTTCGCGTGTTCTCGGCCCCTGGGTCGTTTTCTCGTTTTCTCGGACCCAGGTTAATTGTCTCGTTTTCTCGGCTTCTCGGCTTCTGGGTTTGTGTTTCGTTTTCTCGGGCCCTGGTTCGTTTTCTCGTTTTCTCGGCCCTTGGGTCGTGTTCTCGTTTTCTCGGGCCCTGGTTCGTTTTCTCGTTTTCTCGTTTTCTCGGACCCTGGGTCGTGCTTTCGTTTTCTCTGGCATTGGTCTGCTTTCTCGTTGTCTCGTTTTATCGGCCCCTGTGTCGTGGTCTCGTTTTCTCGGGCCCTGGTTCGTTTTCGCGTTTTGTCTGCCCCTGGGCCGTGGTCTCGTTTTGTCGGACCCTGGCTCGTTTTTTCGACCCTGGTTCGTTTTCTCGTTTTCTTGGCCCCTGGGCCGTGGTCTCGTTTTCTCTGACCCTGGGTCGTCGTCGGTCGTCGGTCGTGCGTCGTCCGTCGTCCGCCGACGTCTTCGTATGACCTCGTCCTCGTCGTGACGACCACGACGAGGTCTTACGAAGACGGCGACAATGACGGCGACGGCGGCGACGACGGCGACGAGGACGACGACGGCGTCGTACGAAGACGTCGGGCGACGGCGACGGCAACGACGACGGCGACGGGGGAGGATCGTCCGGCAGGGGGAGTTCAAGGGAGGGGGGTGGTAGCCAAGCCGCCCCTCTCATTTTGGAAAGGGGGGAGGGGAGGGGAGCTTCCGGCAGAGGGGAGAAAAATGGAGGGAGGGGCTGGGGGGGCTTCCACTGGGGGGGTCAAAGACCCCTCCCCTTTCTTAAGGGGGGGAAGGGGTGGGTAGGGGGGAAGGTGCCGGTAGCTTCCCGGGTGCCGAAAAGGGGGGGAGGGGGGGGGTGCTAAGCCCCCCCCCCTTTGGAACCAAAGGGGGAAGGGGGGGGGTAGCTTCCGGCAGAGGGGGATCAAGGGGAGGGGGGGGGGGGGGGGTAGCTAAGCCTCCCCTCCCTTTGGCAAGGGGGGGAGGTGGGGCAGGGTAGCTTCGGAGTGGCGAAAGGGGGGGAGGGGGGGGTAGCTTCAGGGGGGAGGCGAAAAAGGGGGGGAGGGGGGGGAGCTTCCAGCAGGGGACGCGGGAGGGGGGAATAGCCAAGGGGGGACCCCCCCTTTGCTCCGGCGCTGTGGGCGCGCTCTCTCTAATCTTTCCCTTCCCTCAGGAGGTTTCGCTGCTGTGTGCTTGCACGTGCGATGCGTTCTTGCACGCCCACCACTGTTCCGGCCTGTGGCTCCCAGGCACTCCGCTGCAAAATTTCGAGGCGAGGCTTCGCCTCCTCACAAGACAGCATCCTGCTGTTGCAGTGGCGTGGGAGTTTGTCAGAGTAGTGCTTGGATGGCTTATGCCAGACTAAATTGTGGATGCCGCAACAGTGCGGTGTGCCTGGCCGAGGAGTTACTTAATACCTATACGACCACCCTGCGGGTGATAAGGAGGTTGGGGGGGAGGGGGGCCAGCAATGGGCAACAGTGGTGCTTGTTGCGTTGGCGCTCGCTCTTGGGACCATCGATCCCACTATCGATCTCACTCGATCGATCTCACTATCGATCTCACTCGATCGATTTCACTATCGATCTCACTCTGGATATCGCTATCGATCCCACTATCGATCTCCCTATCGATATCACTCGATCTTTCAATCGATCTCACTATCGATCTCACGATCGATCTAACTCTCGGTCTCACTATCGATCTCACTATCGATCTCGCAATCGATTTCGTCATCGGTCTCACTATCGTTTTCGCACCAGCGGGACACCGGGACACCGGACAGGCGGGACATTGGCGGGACACCGGCGGGACACCGCGGGTCACTGCTTGCCAGAGGGAGAGTCATTTGGTCCGGCCGGGACCCAGCCACAAGCGGGACACCGGCGGGACACTGGCGGGACACCGCGGGCCACCGCTTGCCGGAGGGAGAATCATTTGGTCCAGCCGCGCCTCATCCACAGGAGACTTTCTTCTCGCCCGCCCACGCAGCTTCGCCTCGCCCGCACGCACGGCACGCACGAACGCGAAACCGAAACCGATTTCCCGGTGGGGGGCTCTCCGTTCCATTTCGATCTCACACCCCAACCTCCGATTGTTTTTGTTACATGAGCTCGCGCCGTGGAAAACCTTACTTGAGATCGGCTTTCTCTTTGGGCACCGGCTCTGTGTGCAAGGAGGGATACAATTTCTTGCCCTGGCCCCCAGTCCCGCTTAGTCCAGCTAAATCCGTTCTAGTCCTGAGCCCATCTGGCCCAGTCTGGCCCCATTGCCTTTGAATCGGGCTTCATAGCCCTTCTCCATCGTTCCCACGACCTCCAAGGAGTTGCCTCCTACATCGAGGGGCTCTGGGATCAAGCGTTGCGAACAACATTGCAACGCCGTGAAACATCACGACTGGAGCCCCAGACACGATCTTCCTCGAGCATTTCTCGAGCCAGACCGATGTGTGATGGTCCTGGTGCCCGAAAAACGCAGCGAAAACGTCCGGTGTGAAGAAATGCGTCGCCCGGGTCTCAGGGTAATTACATCGAGGGAAGGGGATGTGACGGGGATTTGCTGGCACGCCCGAAATGAGCACGGAAAACTAGGCACGATGCCCAAAAGCAAATGTTGTCCAAACCCAGCACAGCCGTTGTTGGGCAGGCGACAGGTCGCAAATGGACAACGTCTGCGGCGACACCGACTGCGAGTCCTTTTCAAAATGGGGGGAACTGCTGCCGGGCTTCGTCACCACTCTTTCCGTGCTGATGTCGATCGCACCGAGCTTGGGAGGAGTCGGTGCCTTGGAGGGAGGGAAGGAGGGAGGCGGAACGAAGCGGCCGCCTTGCTGCACGCGGCCGTGCAGGCGGCGAGGGCGGGGACGCCGCGCAGGGGCCCGTGCGGCGAGGGCTGCTCAACAGGCAGCCCGGCAGGAGGAGCACAGTCAATCAGAGGAGTCGAAGAAAAAGCTGCATACAGATAAACTTTCGACGGTCCGCGCGGATGTCGGGTCCGGCGCAGATTTTGAGAAATCCGCGCGAACCTCCGAAAGTT